ATTATAACTATTTGTCCATCGTTTATACATTTCTTAATATCTTTTGGTGTAAAAGTTTTTTTTTCTTTATTTTTTAATAATGACAAATTTTTATTTTTGTCAATATTGGACATTCTTAAAAAAAAATTTTTTTTTTAGGAGAAAATATATTATCATTACTACATATCTAAAATCGATTAATTTTTTTTTTGTTTTGTTTGTAGTATTAGGTTTGTACAGCGGGCGCACGGATTTGTCAATCTAATGAATTACAAGATTAAGATTGTTGAACGACCATCCAGATCAATTGATTTCTATTGATTGATTGTGCAATTGCATGCATATTCACTCAAAAATGTATATCGCATATTATTAATAATATTAATTGTTTTTTTTATCAAAAAAAGATTAAGCCGAAATTACGTGCTCAATATCAGTTGAAAACATCTATTAGCAAAAAATCGTATGACATTATCATCATTATTCACTGATCGGCAATTGACAATCATAACAATAATTAAAGGTTTTGATATTTTGAAGCTATTTCTTTATATATAATGGTAGCATCATCAGATCAGATAATAATTATCATACCAAACCTGGTTTAGTAATAATGTATCTATTATTTAACTGATGAAAATGCTACGGGCAAGTAAGTGTACAAGTCTTTTTCAATTTTAGCAAGATTTATAGAAGCACCCAATTTTGAACCCCTTCAGTTAGGGCTTCTATTCGAATAAGGTTTATTCGAATTATTCACTTTATTCGCTATTAATTTTCTTATTCAAATTACATTGAAAGTTTATTTGAATAAATTTTAATTCGAATAAAACAAACAATTCGAATAAGAAAATTTATTCGAATAAAAAATTGATTTGAATAAGAAAATTGATTCGAATAAGAGAATTAATTTTGAATAAAACAAATAATTCGAAAAAATTAATTAGGATAGAACAAATAATTAAGGTCCGGTTTAAATCCAAGCTCACTGGAAAGATTGCTATTTATTAAAAGAAACGTGAATCTTGTTTCAGTCTTTCCTTATTAGTTTCATTTTTAAATAATAATAAAATCAATAGTAAACCTTGTTGTATATATAGTTTGAATATTTAAGTAATTGAACAACCCATGATTCCAAATAATCTAATAAAATGAA